TGGCTTGCCAGTGCGTTTTCGACTTTGGCGGCCTCGCGGCCTCTCTTGGGGCTCTTTGGAGGGCCTCGAGGGCGGCGCCCAGGAGGAAAACCATCTCTGGGTCGGACCGCCCGGGACCTGCCCAGGACCTTGCCGGGGTTTTTTTCGTCCGGGGACCCCCAGGGGCCGCCTCGCGCGCGCGAACTAGAAATATTGTTAACCAGTTACCGGAGATCTTAGCACGCCTCTGGCCCGTTTGGCCGGCGAGTTTCAATTCGTCCCTGGCCCCCCCCCTGGGCCGCGCGCGTGCCGCCGGCCATGATTTGCGCCCCCCCCCTCTTGGGCGCCTTGGCCGCCACCCCCCAGAGGGGCAATCGGGACTCAAGGGACGGGGGTGAATGAAGGGGGTCAGCCAGAGCGCCGGATCTTGCAAGATCGTGCAGAGCCAGGGGCGCACCGACCCGGGTTTGGGTGCAGGATCCTGCAGGATCCTGCAGGATCTAGCAGGATCCTGCAAGGCCTGACTGGCCCAGGTCTGGATTGACCCGGGCCAGTCGATCCCCGAGACAAGAACAGCGTAAACATGGACTTTCATCTTGGATATATCTTGGTGTGCGATATATCTTGGATATACTTTGGATATACCTTGGATATATCTTGGATACACCTGGGATAAATTCAGGATGTATCTGGGACATATATAGGATGTATCTGAGATATATCTTGGATTAATATTTCATCTCGGATGTGTCTCGGATTATCTGCAGGATCGTGCAGATATCTAGGATCTTCGCCAGGCCCTCCCTGGCGTGCGGAGCGCGCCAGGGGCGTTGCAGGAGGCGCCGCCACGGGGGGCCCATCGCAGATTCAAGACATCCGCTCGGGTCTCCGTCAGTTTACCCATGTTCATGCACATGTGTGCTCCTGGTGTGCAAGATGATGGTTTTTTTTATTCCTTGTTTTGCTTATCGGCGCGGGTCCTCGTACCCCCCCCCGGAGTAGACCTTGGCTGTTTTTTGGCGCCTGTTTCGAGCTTGTGGAGCCTCCCCCATAATGGACGCCCTGTTGCACACAGCCGCATTAAGCCGAGGTCTGGAGCCAGACCCCCCCTCCTCCCCTCTTCCGCCCAATGTCGAAACGTCGAATAAGAAAACGCTCACAAGCAGCAAGATAATCGCGATTTGTCCACCGGAGCGCCGTGATTGCTCTCCACTGTCGCCCTGATCACCGAGCGCGTTCCACTACTCGCAAAGTGTCTATTCGCAAACGTCCGCACAAACACGTTTGCCTCGATGTAATGGATCGTAGATCCCCCGCGGCGGATCCAGGCAATTTGCAAGTAGCCACTTTGCGAGTGGTGGAGCGCGCTTGCCTAAAAAACATGTTTGCTCCTGCAGTAAAAGCACCCTCCTGGAGTAGATTGGTCGGAGGATCGCTCCGTATCGCCGATGCATCGACGATGATGCTCGATGTAGAGCCCCATTCTCTTCACGCCGACGTGGCCGATGCATCGCCGATGCATCGGTGATGCATCGGCGATGCGATGCAATCCTCCGACCCCATCAGGGACGCCTCCATGTAGTGGACGCACCTTCCCGGCCCGCGTGCGTCCAGGTCTCCTGTGATGAGGGCGGGCCCTTGTGGCCGAGGATCGGCGCGGGTGGATCCAGTGGCACTGCTGCGAGTGTGCCCACTGCCACAGCTCGGGGCGGGGACATAGCTGGGGGGGATGAGGGGCGAGGTCTTGTGGGCATCAGCTTAAGTCGGGCATGTCCCTCTACAGGAGGAATAGTCGAGGATAGTGAGAAAGTATGATATGGCGACGATTTTTCGTGCTCTTTTGATTATCCGTAAGGGCTTCGCCCCATGCCGCCGGCCCCCTGTCTCGGATAATGGGAGATGCAAAAGTTAAATCATGAGGTCTGGGCGCCGCCGTGAAGCAGTGTCGGGACCTCTTTGTTTTTCGACCCTGACCCTACAGATCTGCGGGTGCCACCGAATTTCAGAAATGTTGCAAATCCATTGTGTTTTTGCACCCTGACCCTACGGATCTGCGTGAGGGGTGCCGCCGAATTTCAGACATGTGGCAAATTCCCTCTGTTTTTGCACCCTGACCCCGCCGATCAGCGTGAGGGGTGCCGCCGAATTTCAGAAATGTGGCAAATTCCTTATGTTTTTGGACCCTGACCCTGTCGATCTGTGTGAGGGGTGCCACCGAATTTCAGAAACGTGGCAAATCCCTTTTGTTTTTTGCACCCTGACCCCGCCGATCTGCTGGAGGGGTGCCACCGAATTTTAGAAATGAGGCAAATCCTTTGGGTTTTTGCACCCTGACCCCGCCGATCTGCGTGAGGGGTGCCACCGAATTTCAAAAATGTGGCAAATCCCTTGTGCTGGAGGGGTGCCACCGAATTTCAGAAATGCAGCGAATCCTTTGGGTTTTTGCACCCTGACCCCGCCGATCTGCGTGAGGGGTGCCACCGAATTTCAGAAATATGGCAAGTCCTATATGTTTTTGGATCCTGACCCCGCCGATTTGCGTGAGGGGTGTAAATTTTTACCCACCCCAGCAATTGAGAGCACACGCTGAGGGCGTGCTAACAAGGCCCGTTTTGGGCCTCCCCCCTCGCGCGGTCGATGAAAAAGGAACAGCAAGCAGCAAGAAGCAGAACTGTAACAAGGAACAGTAAGCAGCACGAAGCAGAACTGTAACAGGGGAAACTGGAAGCTGCAAGTGGTACAGGAAACTGCGAAGCTTCGGCCTCAAGCCTGGTGGCCCCACAAGGGGGCCGGCGGACTTTTGATTACATTTTGACTATTCTAAATTTTCTTACAAAAATCCGCCTGTAGGAGGACATGCCGGACCGAAGCATAGGCTCAGGGGGGAATGCATCGACCCCTGCAGTCGAAACCGATAACTAGGATGGATAATCTTCCCAAGGTCACCCTTGCATCCTTGACTCTTCGGTTTATCCTTAACCACTTTCGATGGCCAACCCCTCTCGAACAGCTTCGACATGCGCGTCCAAGGGGCTTGCATCCTTATCGCGCATCCTTATTATCAGTTTTGATTGTAGCCGCCCTGTGGGCCTCCTGGGAGGCCTTCGTCGCCACCGCTGGACTCGCCTCGAAATTCTGGCCAGGACGCACCGCGGGAGAGGTTCTGTGAGTAGCGGTATCGGTATTCGGTTTCCCCAACTTCGATTCTTCCGATTCGATTCGATTCGATTTCGATGGCTTCCAATTCCGATTGGATTCGGCTTCGGATTCCGATTCGGATTCCGATTTCTCAATGGAGACCTTACCCGATTTCCGCCGATCCGATTCTTTATGATGGCCAACCCGACTTATCGATTCGATTCTGGGTTCTCCTGGCCGCATGCTCCCAGGGACAGCGTCAGGGGGGGGTGCTCGGGTGGGGGGAGGGGAACGTATCGACCGCGCATCGCACATTGATCGACCCCTACAGTCGAAGCCGACGGTAAGGATGAATCACCTTCCCAAGGGTACCCTTGCATCCTTGCCTCTTCGGTCCATCCTTAACCACTTTCGATGGCCAGCCCCTCTCGTACAGCTTCGACATGCGCGTCCAAGGGGCTTGCATCCTTCTTCCGCATCCTTGCTATTGGGGGCCTGGTAGCCTAACCCGCCCAGGCACGTGCGGACTTGCTGTCGGGGGCCTATCGCCGATCTGTCGGCGATGCATCGCCCACTCCAGCTCGATGTTCCCCCCCTCTGAGCCGGTCCCCTCCGGTCGTTCCCACTCAGGGACGGGGGGGGTGGGCGTGGAAATCAGGACCGCCGCTTCTGGCATCGATTATCATGTGGAAGGCCAGCAGCGCAGGGGCTCGGAGCAACACGTGACGCACGGTTAGACTAGATGCGCCGCAGGACCGAGATGAGTTCCCGCCCAGCATTGCTGGCGCACACAAGCGAGTGGGTGGGAAGAGGGGGATCGGTCTTCTACGCAGGCAGGGGACTTCTCAGAAACCATCCCGCCTTCTGAGACGCCTCCTTAGAAGGCCGCTCTCCTCGCGCCCGCCCCTTGTGTGCGCGCCGCCAACTGCAGGAGTCGGAGTGATGGATCCACGGTGGGTTCATGCGGCGACGGCGCGCCGGCGACTCTCCGGCGAAGGCGTTCAAGGTTGAACTCCGCATGATAGAGCAACGCGGAAGCACTGAGAGGCAGTGTCACGCAACAGGACCCGACGGAGTTCAACCCTGAACGATCGGGGCCGGGATCGGTTCAAGGTTGAGCGATCGACGCGGTGGCAAAAACCTTTGCGAACGCGCCGACGCCGCGCGAACCTACCGTAGGCCACCCATGGGGGGGCGAGCATGCCTGCGCTTGGCGCATCACTGCCTGGGGTGCCGAGGCGCCCTCCTCCAGGGTGCCGCGCGCGACCGAGGGCGCGCAGACCACCGCGCTTCGCGCGCACCTCGGGGCGCGACCCGCGCAGTGAAGTGGAAGCCGGGCCCGTCCCTCTACAGGAGGAATGTTCAAGCACAGTCAAAAAATAGCACGGGGACGATTTTCTGATCTCCTTGCGGTTGTGGGGATTTCCGGGGGATTTCGTCCAGATTTCGTCGGACTCCGTCGACATTTGGACGGAATTCTCGGACGAACGAGGTAAAAGTGTTGGTCGTTGGGACGTTGCTCAGGACATGCGGCCGGAGTCACGTTAATGCCAGGGCCGCGGAGGTCCACCCGCTCCCAGGAAGACTCACCCGAGGGCCGAACCCCAGACTTTCGAGGGCGCCAGATGTCCGAGGTAAGCCCCTGAGGAGTCTCAGACAAACGTGAACCCGACCCTAGCAAGATTTCCGCGCCCAAGGCGCGCGTAGGAACGCACCCCGAACGAGGCCCAAACAGTGGCCCAACGCCCCCCTTAAAACAAGACCCTGGAGGGTCCGGGGGCTTTAAGCCCCCGGACCCTCCGGGGTCCCGTGCCCGTGCCGCTCCAGCCGCTGCGGGCCCCGTGCAGCCGGGGCGCCGGGAGGGGGGAAAGGGTACCCCGCAGCACGCGCGGGGCTCAATGCGCAGCGCTCGCGCCACGGCCGCTGCAGCTGCGCGGTGGCGCATCGCCGGCGGCCCCCCCCCAGCTCTGACAGGAGAAGGCACAGCAGGAACACAGACGTTCGGAGCCCCGCGCGGAGTTTTCGCGTCGGCGCTCGGCTGCCCCCCTGGTCAGTGCCTCTGGCGCCGCCACCGGCGCGCTGGGGGGGGGGGCCCAGCGCGGATCCAAGGAATCGGTGCGGAGCTCCGAAGGTCGATGCTCGTGCATGCCTTTCTCCTCCCGAGCTCCAGGCGCAAAGCCGGGCGGCGTGGGCGTGCGGGCCTCCGGTGCGGGTCGGCGCGCCCGCGCCAGAGAGCCAGGGGCAACGAAAGGGGGGGGGGATAGGCACCAGGGGGGGGGATAGGCACCAGGGGGGGTTATGGGCACAGGGGGGAATTAGGCAGCGAAAGGGGGGGAGGGGGGTGGGCAGCGAAGGGGGAAGGGGTAGGGGGGGGGGTAGGCACAGGGGGGCGGGTGCCTCGTCCCGCCCCCGCAAATCGCCCATCCGTCGCCGAGACCGGCTCGATCGCCCCCCCCCCCCCCCCCCCCCCGGGGCGCATGTGGTTCCAAGAGGGTCCCCAGGGAAAGGTGCTTTTGGGACGGGCGATGCCGACTTCTCAAGTCCGCTCGGCTTCGCCCACGAGGCTGCCGCTCTGCGATGTTTCACTCGCACCCGTCGAGGCCTCAAAGTCAGCGCCGCGGTCTCAGAAGTCCCTTCCGCTGGCGTCCCTTCAGGAAACGTATCATTTAATTACCATCAGGGGCCCGTCGCCGATGTGTCGGCGACGTGTCGCCGACTCCAGGCCGATGCTTCCCACCCTATTCGGCGACTGCAGAGGGTGTGGTTACGCCGGGGTGTGGTTTGCGATGGGCGCCGTTGAGGCCTGTGCGGCACGACACTGTCCTCGTCGGGCGTCTTCAGGGTGCGGCGGAGAGCTCTTTCGAGGTCCCCGCCCGCCCCCCAGGGTGCCCCCCCAGGGCGCCGATTGCGATTGCAGACCACACCCTTCGGAGTCGCCGACCTATGCCAGTCCCCTCTCTCGTTCCCCCCCGAGGCAGCAGAATTCGCCCTCGCGGAGGCACAGCCCTCGGCGCGAGAGGTCGCTCGCGGGGCGGCGGGCGCGAAGCGCGGCAGCACAGACTCCCCCGGACTGTTCATTGCCGTTGCCGTGCTCCGCTGCCAGTCCTCCTCGGAGGAGCAGGAAAAAGCTCGCCCGCGCTGGGCTCTTTCTTTGCTCAGAGGAGGGGGAGGTGCCCATGCCGCTACCCTTCCTGCGTCTTCGCCTCTGTGGCCCTCCTGGGAGGCCTTCGTCGCCACCGCTGGACTCGCCTCGAAATTCTGGCCAGGGCGCACCGCGGGAGAGGTCCTGGGAGTAGCGGTGTCGGTACCTTTTGGTTTCCCCAATTTCGCTTCTTCGGATCCGATTCGATTCGATTTCGATGGCTTCCGATTCCGATTGGATTCGGCCTCGGATTCCGATTCGGATTTCGATTCGGATTCCGATTTCTCTATCGAGACCTTACCCGATTTCCGCCGATCCGATTCTTTATGATAGCCTACCCGACTTATCGATTCGATTCTGGGTTCTCCTGCCCGCATGCTCCCAGGGGCAGCGTCAGGGGGCGGCGTGCTCGTGTGTGTGTGTGTGTGTGTGGGGAACGCATCGACCCCGCATCGCACATTGAACGACCACTACAGTCGAAACCGATGGTAGGGATGGGTAACCCTCCCCAGGGCACCCTGGCATCCTTGCCTCTTCGGTCCATCCTGCACCTTCGACGGCCAGCCCCTCTCGAAAGCCTCGCGCCCAAGGGGCTCGCGTCCTTGTCGCGCATTCTCCCTATCAGTTTTGGCTGTCACCGCCCATCCATCGTCGATGGGCAGGCCGGCAGCCCAGCCCGCCCCGGGCACGTGCGGAGCCGCTGTCGGGGGCCGTCGCCGATGCATCGCCGATCCATCGGCGAGGCATCGCCGACTCCAGCTCCATGTCCCCCCCCCCCCTCGGAGCCGCTAGCCCCCTGACGTTCCCCACTCGAGGCCCACCTCCCCTCCCTCCACGTCTCCTTTACCTCGCTTCTCCACCTCCAGCCTCTTCCTCACTCCATCCACCCTTACGTCGGGCCTGTCCCTCCACAGGGGAATATTCAAAAATAGAAGAAAAACAGCCTGGGGACAATTCTTTAAGCATGTTTTGGGGTATTTTTGTTTTTTTCGTGCAAAATCGGCCTGTAGGGGGACAGGCCCGACTTGACTCTACCCTCTCCCTCCTCTACTCCTCCCCGGCCCCCCGCCCGTCTCCCCCTCTTCGGGCCTCGGCGGGTGTCGGGTAGCAGACCCAGGGCTCCCATCACCCCGCCACGGGTGGTAATGGTCATCAGTGATTTCGCTGAAGGATTTATTGGGCACGTGAGTGTAGTCAGCATGCGGGCTGCTCCCGAAATGGTCTGCAGTCCAGATTCGGAGCAGGATGCGGCCCGATTGCAACCGTCCTCTCATGTTTTCTGTCGATGGTGCTGGGCGTCTGACTTGCCTCTAATTCCTCCAGAAGCGTTCAGGCTTGGGGTGAGCGTGCGCGAGAGGTGCTGGTGGGCCGTCAGGAGGAGCGTGGGCCCTCTGTTGCAGAGGCCTCCACCCACATTCGCCAGGGCCTTCCAGCGAATATCGGCTTCAGTCTCAGGCCAGCCTTTTGGAGAGGGGGAAGGAAATAAGAGGGGGAGACCGCGGGGCATCAGATGAAATCAAGTTGCACGTTCTTCAATTCAGTGTCCCTGCAGCTCCACGGGATCACCGGCGTCAACTCTGGAAAGAAGTGCGGCATCTCCAAAGTATGAAGCTTGAACTGTGGCTTGGATAGGCACGTTGTGGACACTTCATGCAGATCCCTCGAGATGACCAGCCCCGCACAATACAACCTCCTTCCGCCGCAAGACAATTGTATCCTCTCTCATTTACTCTCCTTCTCCTCGCCCCCCGCAGGAGCCAGATCAAAGGATACCTACCCCGAGAGCTGCACTGGACAAGCATGCCAAGCAATACTTTCCGATTGAGCTTCGGCCGCCTGGTGATCTCAGTTTGCGTTGCGCTTCACCGTGACGTCGCGCGCATTCTCAGACCTCTTCCCTCCTTCTTCTTCTTCTTCTTCTTCTTTCCTCCTTTTGACCTTTCGTCAGAGGAGTTGGCCTACCTGTATTCATGCATCGCTGATGTCATTCAGCTGGCGACAAGCTTGGTTTCGAAATCAGTATATCGGTGTTCTCTCACCCTTCCCATCCTCCCCTCCTCCCTTTTCTCCCCCAACCTCTGGCCCATCACCCCCCTCACTCCTCCTTTCCCTTCCGTCCTCCTCCCTAGGCTCCTCTACCTCCTCCCGCCTCCCTTCCGTTTCCCTCCCCCTTCTCTTTCCCCATTTGATGCCAGTCACAGCTCGTGCTGCGGTGGCGGGCCGAGTATTACCTCACGTTCTGCCACCGTCGTGGCCCTTATGCTGCAGCGGATATCCGCAACTTCTGTTGGCAGTGCCCTGGGTTGGCACGCGGCAGACAGGATGATCTCTCGTGTGCTGGGCGCGGCCTGTATCCCACGAGGGGCAGGGCGGGCCCGCTTCGGGCAGTGGTGGAGGTCCACACCCAGAGGTTCCAGGCTGAGATGGAAGCCAGCACATCACCACCCACTAAACCACCCCAGCCCAAGCCGAAGGCCTCACTCTGCCCTCCATCTCCAGTGGGTGGGGGGGGGGGTCGGGGGACATTGAACAACACATGGAACCCGTACCCCCCGCCAACCCGAAACTCGGGTCAAATTCGGGTCTTCAGGTTGGGTTGGGGTGGTCTGGTACAGTCAACGCGCCTAGTAAGGACGCGTGCCTTCATCTAGGGTACCCTTGAGTCCTTGACTCTGCGGCCCGTCCTTCGCCGTTTTCACTGGCCGCCCCCCGCCCCAAAAATCCAACTTCGGCCTCCAAGGGTCTTGCGTCCTTACCTCCCGTCCTTAATAAACGTTTTGACTGTAGGTAGGCAGCACAGCGCATTGAGTGCTGCAGTCGCTGCTGTGCTGTCGCGCGCGAGAGATGCTCACTGCCTGCGGGGCGCAGGCTGCGCGCCCCCGCCGCTGTGCTGCCCGTGGGCGTCAGCTCTGGGCAGCGTCGCCCCCTGCTCGTCGTCCTCCTCCTCCTCCTCCTCGTCCTTCTTTTCCTCCTCCTCCTCATCGTCCTCCTCCTCCTCCTCCTCCTCCTCCTGTCCTTCCTTGTCCTTCTCCTCCTCGACCCACCTCCTCCCTCTGCCCCCCCTCCTCACCTCATCCTCGCCCTCTCGCCCCTCCCCAGCCCGAGGCGCACCAAACCCGCGGCGTGGTCACCGTGCTGATCGACCCGGAGAGCTCGCACCCGGGCGCTGGCAGCTGCGTCGTCGACGGCGCGTACAGCGAGCAGTTCCTGCGGCGCCTGGAGGCGCTGTTCGAGCGCCTCCCTGCGTCCGAGCCGACCAAGGACTCCGAGAAGAAGAACACGCCTAGACCGAGAAAAAAAGTCTCCTGGCGATAACGGGCGTGACCCAGGGGCGAGGGGGCCCGCTACGTCACGATTCGCGCTGGCGCCGTCTGGGAACATTCAGGAATGGCTATTTCCGACGCGGCGCGGTGACGAATCGTGACGTGACAAGGGGGGGGGAGAGCGGGGGGTCGGGGCCGATCACGGGCGGTGTCGCGAGCATGAGAAAAAGGGCTCATGCCCCTTCGGAGGCTCTCGTCGCGGGTGGATTCGCCTCGGGACCCTTGGTCAGGGGTGCACTCCGGATCGGCATCTGTCTCCTCCCCGAGGACAGTCCGAACGCCCGCAGTTACTTCTGCGACATGGAGGGCTGGCTGCAACGCGAGCTCGCAGAGCCTCTCGGGCTGGCGGGGCCGACCAGACCGCCGGTGGAGGAGGCCATGCCGCAGGCGCGGTTCCTGCACTACCAGCGGCCCGGCGGCGCACTCCCGCCGCACGTGGACCTGGCAAGGACGGACTTCGCCGGGCGCCGCTCCACCCACACGCTGATCCTGTACTCGAGGAGGAAAAACGCCATGAACATAAACTTTTCGCGCTCCGTGCGGATTTCTTGGATGCGCGCTGGGCCCCCCTGGAGGCCCCGCGCCGCCCCTGGCGCGCTCCGCGCGCCAGGGAGGGGGGCCCAGCGCAGATCCAAGAGACCCGCGCGGAGCACCAAAAGTTTCTGCTTATGGCCTTTTGCCTTCTCCTGTGTACCTGGCCGACTGCGCGGAGGGCGGGGAGACCGTGCTCCTGGACCGCCAGGACGACGCCCCCGACGCGGTGCTGGCGGAGGTGCGGCCCCGGCGGGGCAGGCTGCTGCTCTTCCCCCACCGGTGCCCGCACCTGGCCCGCCCGACCGTGGAGGTGCCGAAGCTGCTGCTGAGGTCGCGGGCCGAAGACACATCCGTGCCCACGGCCTCGTGGGCCAGGAGGGAGGGCGATGAGGAGGAGGCAAGGAGGGCGAGGAGGAGGAGGAGGAGGAGGAGGAGGAGGAGGAGGAGGAGGAGGAGGAGACGGAGGAGGAGGAGGAGGAGACGGAGGAGGAGACGGAAGAGGAGGAAGAGGAGGAGGAGGAGGCCTCTGGGCTGCGACCTCCCAGTGGACGCGGGGGCTGCGGCCCCCAGTGGACGCGGGGCGTCTTCTCTCCGGGATGCCCCGCGCGGAGCGCATCTCCATGCGACCGCGTACCCACGGGAGGGGGCCTCGGGGCTCGAGAGACGGGGGTCAGTGCAAACGGGGGTCCGTCAGAGCGCCGGATCTTGCAGGATCCTGCAGGGCCAGTGTCGCACTGACCCGGGGTTGGGTGCAGGATCCTGCAGGATCTTGCAGGATCCTTCGCATTGACCCGGGTTTGGGTGCAGGATCTTGCAGGATCTTGCAGGATTCTGCAAGGCCTGACTGACCCAGGTCTGGATTGACCCGGGTCAGAAGATCCCCGAGCAGACCGCGAGGGCGTGGATGTGGATTTGCTCGCCGCTCGTCGCCAGGGGCGAGATGTTCGGCCCGCGCCCAGCGGGGCCAGCCGCGGCTGCCGCCGTCGGCGCCTACCCTGGCGGCACGATTCTGCCCGGGATATCCTGAGGGCCAGGCGCTTCGGCGACGGCGACGACGACGACGACGACGACGGAAGACGGTCGACGGACGACGGACGACGACGACGACGACGACGACGACGACGACGACGACGACGACGACGACGACGACGACGACGACGACGACGACGACGACGACGACGACGACGACGACGAAGACGACGACGACGAAGACGACGACGACGACGAACGACGACGACGACGGACGACGACGACGACGGACGACGGACGACGGCGACGGCGACGGCGACGGCGACGACGACGGCGACGGCGACGACGATCTCGGCGGGCGCGCGCGGGCGCGCGGCGGCCGCCGCCGCGCAGGCCGGCCGCCTCGGCGGCGATGTCTGCCGGCGGGCGCGCGCCGCCCCGGCGGCGGGCGCGCCTCTCCCCAGACGGACAGAGGGTGCGCCGACCTCGGAGGGCACGGGCGAGGAGCCTCGTCGTCGTCGCTCGTCGTTCGTCGTTCGTCGTCGTCGTCGTCGTCGTCGTCGTCGTCGTCGTCGTCGTCGTCGTTCGTCGTCGTTCGTCGTCGTTCGTCGTCGTCGTTCGTCCGTCGTCTTCGTCTTCGTCGTCGTCGTCGTCGTCATTCGCCGTCGGCGTTGTCGTTCTCGGCGTCGTCGCCGTCGTCGTCGTCGTTTGTCGTTCGTCGTCGTCGTCGTCGCCGCCGTCGTCGTCGTCGTCGTCGTCGTTGTCGTCGTCCTTTTGCTCTTCCTGCCTTTTCCTCCTAATGCTGCATGGAACTTCAGATTTTTGCCCTGCGGATCGCTTTCCGCAGATGGGTCCAGGATGTTCGCGAGCATAGGGTGCAATTCGCATGAATTGTATTCGTGTTCCCCCCTCGTCTTCCTTGCTTCTCTTTTCTCGCGTTGTCCTCTCTTCGCTGCCCGTCTGGTCTGCTTCCGTGGCTTTCGCTTTTGCTTATGCAGGGGTTTAGGCCTGCGCGGATGGCCCCTGGGCCGCCCGAAAGTGTGGGTCCTGCTGGAGCGCGTGTAGAGCAGTTCGCAGTGAGCGCAACAGACAACAATTGCGCTGTCGTTCGCACGGGGGCGATGGGCGGGGTGCGGCGGCGCGGCGTGAACGAGGGAAACGGGAGGGATAATTGAAACATCCAGACTCATTTTCCTGCTCTCGGAGAGCCTCCCGGAGGCTCCTGGGCGCCCTGGACGACGGAAGCAATTCCCCAGAAGGCGCCCAGAGAACTCGGGGGGGTCGCACTCAGGGCGGCCGCGAAGAACATCCGCAGATTTCCAGGTGGAAGGAAGCGCGCGGGGAGATGCACGGGAGCTCCAGGAGCGGCGCCAGGAACATGTTGAGACGGCTGTATTCGTCAAGTTCCTCAGTGTTCTACTTGGTTTCTTGCTCATCGGGGTTTGCGGGTGTTTTGAGCCCGAACGAAGGGGGGGAGGTATCCAGAACGGCCTAACGCGGCCGCAGTGATCAGCAAAACGAGCCGAGGAGGGCCCCGAGAGGCCGCCCAAACTGGCTTGGGGAGCCCCTGGAGACTCGAGAGGTTTCTGAACGGGCTCCGCGGCGCTCGACGGACATGGTGACCAGAGGGCGCCCCGGCAGCCCCCGCGTCTTCCGGGCCGGCGGAGTGAGCGGCGGTCCCCAGGAAAGAACCCAAGAAGGGTTCGGAGAGGCCCAAAGGCAGGGAGGGGTGTGAAAAGTGCGCTGAGAAGGAGACTCTTGACACGGTCCTGGCAGACTCGTGCGGTGGTGGTCTCGCGTGCTGCACCCGGTGGGGCGGCGGGTCGCTTCGCTCAGTCCGCTGGCCCATTCGGCCAATCCCGCCACCGCGCCTGGGTGGTGGGTCCTGGGCCTTTTGGATGTTCGCCGGGATCTCGTGGAGGCCTGTCGGGGGCCTCCCAGAGGCAGTTCTGGGGCCTCTTGGGGGGCTGTTTTGGGGCCTCTTGGGAGCCTCTTGGGGCCTCTTGGGGGCCTGCTGGGGCCTCCATGGTGTTTCTTTGGGTGGAAGGTTCGGATTTTCGGTTCGTGGCCCCCCTCCTGGGCCCATGTTCAGACAGGTGCGAAAGTTCGGTTTGATTGTGGCTTCCATTCCAGGCAGCCAAACTGAAGCAAATTTGCACGGAACCGCATCACTTTGCGAGGCGGTCTCTCTTGCGGCGCAATTTGTCAGGGGCCGCGTCGCTTTGCGAGGCGGTCTCCATTGCGGCGGTTGAGCTCCCAGAGCCTCCGCGGCAACTCGCGGCAAAGGCCCTCGATGTCGTGGGCGCCGTTGATTTGGGCCGCGCAGGCTTTTTTCAGGCGGGCCTGATGCGCCTTTAGTGTCTCCCCCCAGCGGTTCTTGGGGGCGTCTTGGTGAGCTTGTCGCGCGCCTGCGAGACCGCAGTCTCGCGCAGCGTGACTTCTTGCAGCTGGCCGGGCTGCGCCGAGTCGCCCAGGGGGGAGGTGGCTTCGAGGTCGCGGTGCCGCAGCGCCCCGCGGTGCTCCGTGATGGCCCCAGAGCCCGCGTTGTAGAAGCCATTCCCACGATCCGTGAAGAGCACGCGCGGCTGCCCGCCGACTCCAGGGAAGCGGGCATGCAGCGACGCGCGCACTTTGGCCGCCATGATCGCGGCCCCCGCCAGGGTCTCCCCAGGGAAATCGTCCGGCAGCGGCTCGAAGCGCAGCTTCCCGCGCGCGGGGGCGGGGGCCCTGCGCGCCAGCGCCGCGTTTGACTTATCCAGCTTCAAGTGGTGCTTGGGTCCGCGGAGGTTCTTCGACTGCTCTGGCGAGCCCTTGCTCATCCATCCGTTCGCCCCTTTTCGCGCAAGCGCCATGTCTTGCGCCCTCTTCGGAGTCCGCGGAAGGGCAGAGGTGCAGAGGTCGCGCCAAACCAGACTGTCGCAGTACCGCTGCGGTCTGTGAGACAGCGCCACCATGTGCTTCGCGAGAGCCCGCCGCCGCTGTCCCGGCGCATCGCCCGGCGCGTTCCGCGACCGACGCGGCCGGTTATTCCATGGCTCGTCGGCCCCCTCGTCGAAGCAGACCTCCTGGAAGACAGTGCAGACTGCCTTCTCGCCCGCGGGCTCCTGCGCATCGGGGTTCAACGTCGCCGTTGGGCGAGCGGCCGCGACGGCGGCGCATGCGGGCTCGTCGCCCTGCTTCTTGAGGCGCCTCGCCGCTGCAACCAAGGCGGCCTTCTTCGGGCCTGGGGGGGTGCGCTTCTGGCCGCGGGCGTGCTCTTTTTCCAGCTGCTTCCCCTGGTTCCAGTCAGGGTCGGCGTCCACCTTTGTCGAAAAGCCGGCCCACTGACTGCGGCGCCGGATGGTCGCTAGCGGGCCGTCCGCCCTTCGTCTGCATCGCGCGGTTGGCCGCGAAGGACGTGGCGCCGCGGGCGCTGTTCCCTTCCTGTCGCCGCGCCTCGCGGAGCGCCCGCGCCCGCGCCTGCTCGCGGCCGCGCGCCCCCCCCCCCCCTCCTGTCCAACAGACCGTGGCTCTGTCGACGCTGCCTGCGCCGCCACGTCGCAAGGCAGAGGCTGCTCCCTGTGGCGCGCGCGCAGACTGGGGCCCAGGTGGCTACAGTGCCGTTTTTAATACATGCTCCGCGTGCGGATCATGTATTAAACATGCAGGGAGTTAGTACTAAAAACAATGATGAGTTCATGCTTTGATTTATTCATAAGTTGATCATGTATTTAAAAAAATCCGATACTTCTGAAAATCCTATGTATAAGAAACTGCCCTGTGCGGAGGAGGAGCTGGCACGACCCCTGGCCGCGTCCCTTGGGACTTTCCGCGGCGCGCCCCCCAGGCGTGTCCCCCTGTCAACTAGCTCTGGGGCAGCTACTGTATGATCGAGCAAGATCCAGATCAGTTCGGTCAAGGACGCGGATGCAAAGGGGGCTCGATCCACATCGCTATAGAGCACAATCGCGGCATGGCACATCGCAGTTCAGCACGGCGCAGCACAGCACAGCCCTTGACACGGTACGTCAAGATCGATACATTCAGCATTGCCGTTGCTCGTCGCCCACTCGGGTGTCTTGAAAACGTTGCCACGCCTTAAGTTTCTATGGGTCGATCATGTTCGGCCGATTGCGTGTCATTTTGGAGGCGTCTTGGACCGATCGATCAGCGATTCGGGGCACTCTTGTTCGATAATGGGGTCTCTTGGGGGCCTGGACGACCGCCCTGAGGAGTTCCAGCATCCTTGGGGCGAACTTGCCAGGAGGTTGCCGGGAGTTTGCCAGGGTATTTTCCGCCCGTGTGCGCGAACTAGAACTGTCCTAAATCTGCTGCTGGAGATTTTGGCACGCCTCTAGCCAGTTGGGCCGGCGCATTCCAGCGTCTTGAGTCTGCGCTCCGAGGGCACATAGGTTTTACAGTCAATGACTATAGTAAAGATGCGCTGCTTCTTCAATAGTGCCCTTGCGTTCCTGCTTGTTCGGCCCGTCCTGAGCCAATGTTGGCGTCCATGGAGTTTTAAAGGATAGATATGGGCCCTCCAAGGGTCTGGCACCCTTGCCTTGCACCGTTACCTTGCATCCTCACCTTGCGTCCTTGCTTTGCATCCTTGCCTTGCATCCTTGCCTTGCATCCTTACGTGCCGATGCCGCTTACTTTGCCTCGTTCTCGCCTTTCTGGGCCCCCGGGGGGCCCTCGCCGCCACGGCCGGACTCCCCTCGGCATGCTGGGCAGGGCGCGCCCCGGGAGAGGTCTGGGGAGCAGCGGTATCGTTACCTGGCTACAGTCAGAAACCCTAATAAGGACGCGCGACTTTGCTCAGGGTACCCTTGCGTCCTTGCTCTTCCGTGCTCTTGCGTCCTTGGGGTTTTCGTCGTCCGCCGCCCCAAAAATTCCAACTTCGGCTCTCAAGGGTCTTGCGTCCTTACCGCGCGTCCTTATGAGGGTTTTTGACTGTATCGGTACCTGGCTAGGGGAACGAGCAATGACATAAACATAATCACTCGGAGGTCCGCGCGGATTTCTTGGATCGGCGCTGGGGCCCCCTAGCGGCGCCTCCGGCGCCGCCCCTGGCGCGCTCCGCGCGCCAGGGAGGGGGGGTCCAGCGCGGATCCGCGAAATCCGCGCGCGGACCTCCGAGTTTCTATGCTTGCGCCACTTCTCGTTCCCCTGCTGGTTTCCCCCCCGGTGAGAGGGGGCGGGTCCTGGAGGAGAGGTCGGGGGCGGCACAGAGTGGGGTGATGACCGGATCTCGTGGCGCCCCCCCCTCTTGGCCGCCCCCCGCCTTGGCCGCCCCCGAAGAGGGGTCCCGGCACCCGCCGCGCCGTGGCAGCTCTCGGTGCCCCCCTGCCGTGGCCGCCGAGGAGCCCCGCCGCCGCCGCCGCCTCGGCGCGGGCCCCACGCCCCGCGGTCGAGCAGGCGCGCGCCCCCCCTCCCCCCCCTGGGGGGGCCCTCCCGGAACCTGCCGTCGCAGGCGACCGTTTTTTTTTTTTTTTTTTGTTTTGTGTTTTTTTTCTCTCTCTCTCTCTCTCTCTTTTCCCCCCCCCTACCCTGGAGGGTTTCTCCGAAGGGCTTGGGCGACCCGTCCTCCTACTCTCCTCCTCCTCCTCCCCCTCCTCCACCTCCTCCTCCTCCTCCTCCTCCTCCTCCACCTCTCTTCCTCCACCTCCTCCACCTCCTCCTCCACCTCCACCTCCTTCTCCTCCTCCTCCACCTTCACCTCCTCCTCTTCCTCCTCCTCCTCCTCTTCCTCGGGTCGCCTGCGGCCCCGGGGGAAACCGTGCACCCCACCCTGGCCAGGGCTCATATCGATCCCTCCGATTCGGTTCTGGGTTTCGATTCCGATTCGATTCGACTTCGGTTTCCCGTTTGGGATCCGATTTCTCAACGGAGTCCTGCTAGCCTGCCGATTTCTGCCGATCCGTTGTTCTCCGACTCAGCTGCCGATTTTCGCCGATCCGATTGATTTCGATCGCCGATCCGACTTATCGATTCGATTCTTGGCTCTTCCCCCCTCCCCGGCTCCTCGACGGAAAATGACGCCGCTCAGAAAGGGAAGGGAACCCTGGGATACACCCTGGGGGGTTAATTCTTCGGACGCGCCCCTCATCGAGGGTTGAGGCCCCCCCATCTGATATCCGAGGGCTTGGTCCCCAGATTCCTGATCCATTGGAAAGCCCCACGAAACCTGGGATAAGGGGTCGACATCCCCCCTGTTACGCCGCGGAGGAGGGCGGCGCACGAGCGGCACCCACGCGCGGCACCTACGCGCGGCACCCACTCGGGCCGGGTTCACGGCGCCAGGCCGGTGGGAGTCGCCACAAGGGACAGAAAGGGAAGGGAACCCTGGGGTACACCCCAGGGGGCTAACTATTCGGACGCGCCCCTTATCGAGGATCGAGGCCCCGTGCGAGTCGCCGCGAGGAAGACAGGTCCC